GTTAGCATGGCTATCACAGCCCCTACATAGTTAGCATGGCTATCACAGCCCCTACATAGTTAGCATGGCTATCGCAGCCCCTACATAGTTAGCATGGCTATCGCAGCCCCTACATAGTTAGCATTGGCCATCGCAGCCCCTACATAGTTAGCATGGCTATCGCAGCCCCTACATAGTTAGCATGGCTATCGCAGCCCCTACATAGTTAGCATGGCTATCGCAGCCCCTACATAGTTAGCATGGCTGTCACAGCCACTACATAGTTAGCATTGGCTATCACAGCCCCTACATAGTTAGCATTGGCTATCAGAGCCCCTACATAGTTAGCATGGCTATCACTGCGCCTGCATAGTTAGCATGGCTATCACAGCCTCTACATAGTTAGGGACTAATTTCCCACTGTGATCAGCTTCATAGTCATAGTAGGACACTTCTTTGATTGTAGAAATTTTACACATTCAGTAATAAAGTGCCTCAGGTGTGGTATGGGGTTACGCTGAATATGACCGGACTTTTCCTTTAAGCTCCTCGGTTCGACGGTACTTTAACATGAAATGGAAACGGAGCCGCCATTGAAACAGTCTCCATATAAGTGCTACATTTTAGGTTTTCTGCTTTGGTAGTTCAAGATTTATAGTTGAAGTTAAAGAAATAGAGTAAACAACAACGTTTTGTCTTAACTCAGCAACAACGAATGAATGAACATACAGAACAATATTCAGCGGGTGCGGCTTGATTTCCAAATTCAAGGAGATGGAATGGAGAACCCCCTGCATGAAAAGATCAGGAGAATGATAAATAGAATTGTAAATAGATATAGTTTTTTCTATTTCTTATATTTGATTTACTGTCAAAAAAGAGTTCATACTGTGTTAACCATGACAAATTTTAAAGAAAATGTAAAAATTTTTATTGCTTTTGTTCTGAAAACAATGTCAAATTTAAATTTCCATCCAAAATTATGCAGTCATTTTCTCATGTATTTTTGAGAGATATAGGAATTAAAATTAGAATCTGCAGCTTAAATATTTTTGAATAAATAAATATAAAATGCCAGAGTAGCTGAAAGACAGAGCCTAGACAGGTCACCGTCCACTAACAGATTCTGCAGAGTGGGAGAATAGAGATAAAATCAAGCAGAATGATGAAAAAGGGTCTCTATGTCTTCCAGCAGTCTAAGCCTATAGCAGCATAACTATAGAGATAGCTCAGGATAACCTGAGCCACTCTAACTATAAGCTTTATCAGAAAGGAAAGTTTTGAGCCTGCCCTAAAAGTAGACAGGGTGTCAGCCTGATGAATCCCTAACTAGTGTGTGCCTTCCCACCTTTGAAAGCAGTGTCACATTCAGATTTTTTTTTAATTCCATTACTAAAAAACACAATTGTTATATATAGAGTCACTAATCAGATTACGTTAGTGCTTATAAATTTGATTATTGGGTTTTTCTTCCAAGATTTTCAAGTAACCCTTTTACAATAGAATGGTAAACGGTATAGAAACTTTCATTTGTTTCTATACTGTAGTGACATCAGCAAACCTTCTGAAGCCTAAAATAAGTCTTTCTTTTCCTTTGAGCGTTTTTCTGCTCGCTGATCAATCATATTTATCTGCAAAATTCAGTTCTGATCATGCATTGCAATTAAGGGTGTAGGGACACTGCATGTCCAAAAACCACATGTAGGAGTCAGGGACGAGAGGTGGCACTGGTTGGACTCTTGAATCTCGAAGAAGAAGAAGATGAACTCCCTCGTTTAAACATGCGCAGTGCTCGAGGTTCTGGTAAATCTGCTTCAACAGCAAGATTTACCCACCAGCACCTCAGGAGGGCCGACTGAATTTCAAACACCTTATGACCGGCCCTTACAATTCCTGATCGGGAGGTGGTCATGAGACGCTAATCACCCCTCGTTACCCCCTGTACGCTACACGATGCAGGACGCACCATGAGGCTGAAACTCGGCGCGATGAAAAATATTCTCTAACAACTTGAGAATTGGCCCGAAAAGGGCAAAACATTGTACAGTGTATGCCCAGCTTTACGTGTTCCGCATGCGCAGTGGATGACGTAATGATGTCAGAAGCGAGCGTGCTCCGAGTTTAAGAAGTAAACATGGATGCTAGTGCTGGTGTTTGAAAATAAAGACTGCTCTCTGCATTATCGTCCACCATGGTTTTTCTTCCTGTTGCTGCATAGCGAAACAGAATAGGGACCTTTGTTGAATATTAATGTCACTAATATCACATTTGAAAAGATGAGATTCATATCAGGTTCAGGAGCACAGAGCCAAGTGGCCTGGGTCGCATTGGAAAAACTATGTTGTTCTAAATGTCATGAAAAGATCAGATACAGGTCGCATATGGGTAAAGAAATCAGATTTGCGGACCTTTTGCTCAAAACCTTGTTCAGGTCCCGCCCCATTGTCAGCACGACCGGTTCATGCTCCACAACTGCTTTATTGGTACTGGGTTCTTCAGCTTGACAGGTTTAAAGAGTCAATGCTTTTTCTGTCACTGATGCATTTTTCTGTTGTAATTTCTTTAGGTACGATAGTACCATGAAGAGTGGAGGAAAGGCTAAGATGCCGCCTGCAGAGGAGGTCACTAGCAAAAGACCAAAACGCAAATGCCTGCAGTGGCACCCCCTTCTTTCAAAGAAGGCCTCTGAATTCTCTGAGGGAGAAGAGGAGGAAGATGAAGAGGAGCTTGGGAAGGTAAGAGTAAGAGGCTTCATGTTTGGGCAAAACACAAAAACATTGCTTTAGCAGCTACAATGTTAAAAACCTAGAGAGGTAGAGTGGCTGTGCAGCTGACATCAGCCAATCACCCGTTTGTCTTCATATTACCTTGAAAGCAGCAACAAAATCACTGTGATCTTGGTGTACTGCCGTCCCTGCCCTGAAGGAACGGGCATCTCATTTTATTGCTAACCTGAAACCAAGGAAAAGGCAAGATGGACGGCTGCCATTAAGAGACAGAGCCGCTCTCATGCAAAGTTCTGTTTGCTGTTTTAGGAGCGTGCACAGAAAGCATCAGTGCATCTATATTTGAAGGAAAAAACCTCTTCAGACTTAGTAATATTTACTGATAATTTGCTTCTGAAGCGTAGGACAGGGGCGGAGCTAGATCGGGGGTCAGGGACTTAGCCAATCATTGGCCACCCATACCATTTTCTTCCCTCTAATACAGATGGTGGCAGCAGCAATACCCTCAAGTGGAATATTCAAAACCTTTTTTGTGGTTAATTATATACATCAATATACTAACATCAAAGATAAGCACATAATTCATGCTCTTTTTACAGCTAGATTTTGAGTTACATGGGCTAAAGAGAAAATGATGTGTCTCAGCAAGTACTCTACGAGTCTTCAGTAAAATCATAGATAAATAAACATTTTAATAATAAAAACGTATCAATTAATCAATTTATGTACAGGGTTTCCGCCGGTCATTAAAATTCATTAAATTATTATTTTTTAAATTAAGGAATTAATTGGCATTAAAATTGATTAAATTTGATAATCGTGGCAATAAAATCCTTCGGAAAAGAAGCTTGAGGCGCAGAAAAGGCTAGAGAATGGGGAAAAATGCAAATTTGAACCAAAGTGGCGGGAAAACAAGGAACTTGGGACATGGCTGCAGCCTGTCCAGGGTGAAGATGATGAAGGATTTTGCCGTGTATATATATATATGTATGCATGTATGCATGTATGTATGTATGCATGAGTATATGTATACACATACATACATACATACATATATACATACATAACTCATGGGTACTTGTTGATGGCATTAAGATTATTTCTAAGAGCATTAAAGGAGCATTAAATAAGAGTTACTCATTCATGTATAAACCCTGATGTAGATATTAGTGCTTGTAAATATAAATTTTGTCTGGAATGTTTATTGATACAAGTAGGAAAGTAATGACAATGAAAAAGATTTACGCCCCAGAAGTCAAAACTGAAAGAGTTTTATAAACTATACCTTTTATCTAGAAATTATGGGCATTTAAATATATGCGTCTACTTGTTAGGAAAGGCTGTAGGAAAGTAGAGTTTGTCATTTTTTTTTTTTTTAGAAAGTATGGATGTTTTGCTCATTATTTTCCTGTTGGAACAGTGTAGACTGACCCTGAGGTTCTGGTGCCTATCCGCTCTCCATCTCCCCTCAGTGTACATTGCTTATTGCATGGCCACCCTTATAAACATTTTCTGGTTACGCCTCTGGCGTAGTGGCTAAGTACGTCTTTTCCAAAAGTCTTTTAATGCTACATTTAGACTGCAAGCAGCAGCAGCTAGTTTACATGCAAAGTCAATGGTTGACGCGCATCATAAGGCCCTGCAGTACGCCTGAGCAGTTGAATCAGTGCCTCACGAGCTTCTGAGCATCTGACGCGCTGCTGCTGGAGGCTTCTGCCTCATTTCATGGGCATCACACTACCGTGTGTTATGCATAAGTTAGGCTGTCGTTGGACATAAGTTCTGGACTCGCTATGAATACTCTATGCATACGCCCAAACTTGAAACAATCCATAGGAAGTTAAGCGTATGCCAGCGTTTTAGGAGATTCTGGGTGTGACCTAAGCAAATTATCAATAAATATCACCAACTAAGGATCAAGATGTTTTTGCCTCCTAATATAAACGCATCATTTTCCAATGATTTACCGTCCAACTTTCTTCCAGAAGAATCTGTTTCTTCCAGCTGAAAAAAAAAAACCTGGAAAAATCCTGGTAAAAAAAACACCATCCAGAAGAAACTTCCAACCCTGCATCTCTTGCAGCGTTATTACGGAGCACGCAGGAGTTTTTAAATCGTCCAGCAACAGACAGCGGTCATATGACTTTATGAGGCGTAGAAGGAGGTCGAGGGGTTTCTTTAGCCAGGCTCTTTGTAATCATGCAGACCACCAGAAGCTTATTCTCCATTGATGTTTGTGAATGTGTTAAAAAGCAGTGCAGTGAGGACCAGAACCCCCCAGTGCAGAGCGTTAGGTCCACAGAGGAAGCTGAGGAGGACTCCAGCGAACAGCGGGCACGTCGACCTATGAATGCCTTCCTCCTCTTCTGCAAACGCCATCGCTCCCTGGTGAGACAGGAGCATCCTCGTCTAGACAACCGGGGGGCCACCAAAATCCTGGCCGACTGGTGGGCCGTGCTGGAGCCCAAGGAGAAGCAGAAGTACACCGATATGGCCAAGGAGGTAAGGCACCATTATTGCAGCGTGAGTCATTTCTGATGGTGACTAATATTGATAACAGGGAAGGTTTCTTCATAGTGGTTGGTGGAAATTGGATGTGACTAACTGGATGTGCTCTCTTCATCCTCTGACATGGGAGCTGACTCGGAGCTCATCTGCCTGGCTGTGTGT